CTGGACGACCTCTTTCGTCAGCGTTTCGGCCCGTCGCCAGACCTCCCGGACTGGCACAGTTTGCTTAGTCGTCAGATTCAGATCTTTGATATGGACATGGATGCCATTGTTTCTGCTCTGCATGTGATGTATGCTGATGACTCTAGTGTGCTTCCGACTTATTACTCACTGTTGCCTAGTGTAGGTGTGCCTAGCTTAGCCTCCCCTGCTGCGTCAGGCGTAGGATCCCCTGCTTTGTGTAGTCTTGGTGCTTCTGCCGTCGTTCAGTCGCCAGACCCCTCGGCTTCGCTTTCCTTCACCTTGGACTCTGGCGCCTCTCGGTGTTTCTTCCGCGACTCCACCACCCTGACGCTGCTTCCTGTTCCTGCTGCCGTTTCTCTTGCTGACCCCTCCGGCGGCCCGGTAGTCGCCCGCAGTTCCACCACCCTTCCCTGTCCGGCGGTTCCTTCGGGCTCTCTTACAGGTCTGCATATCCCCTCGTTCTCCAGGAACCTAGTTGGTGTCGGCTGCCTCCAGGACCTTGGCGTCACCACTACGTTCCCTGGTCACGAGCGGTATGCTGTCTGTACCGAGGCCGCCACTGGTGCCCCCTTGTCCACGTTCCCCCGGGACCCGGTGTCCGGCCTGTTCACTCTGGACACCGTGCCCCCCCCGGCTGGAGCGCCCCCTCAGGTGGCTGTGTCTACCCAGGTTGCTGCTGCCTGCTCCTGTCGCTCCCTCACTCACCCGACCCTCCTGTGGCACCACTGCCTAGGTCACCCTGCGCTCCCGCGTCTGCGTCACATGTCCCAGCACGGTCTTGTCCTTGGTCTCCCAGGTTCACTCCCCGCGTTTCCCTCCTCCCCAGCTCCACCTTGCACGCCTTGTGTCGAGGGTCGGCTTCGCCGTGCCCCTCACTCCTCCTCGTTCCCCCCTACCGCCGCGCCGCTGCAGACCCTGCACCTGGACGTCTGGGGCCCCGCCCCCGTCCCTGGGCCGCGTCGCGAGCGCTACTTCCTTGTGCTTGTCGACGACTTCACTCGTTACACCACAGTCTTTCCCCTGGAGCGCAAGGCCGACGTGCCTGGCGCCCTCATCCCCTGGCTTGTCTCTGCGCGTGTCCACCGCGGTCTCCCTGTCTTGCGTCTTCACTCAGACCGTGGTGGCGAGTTTGCCTCAGGTGTCCTTGGTCGCTTTTGTCGTGCGGAGGGCATCACCCAGACGTTCACCCTACCGGACTCCCCACAGCAGAATGGGGTCGCTGAGCGACGCATCGGCTTGGTCATGGAGGTCGCTCGCACCTCCATGGTCCATGCCGGTGCACCCCATTTTCTGTGGCCGTTCGCTGTGCGCTACGCTTCTCACCAGCTTAACCTGTGGCCGCACCCTCAGCAGCCGCAGGTTTCGCCGACCCGTCTGTGGACTGGGTCTCCTGGTGACGCGTCTGCGTTCCACGTCTGGGGCTGCCTTGCTCACGTCCGTGCCTCCGGCACGGACAAGCTCACTGCCCGCACCCTTCCCTGCGTCTTCCTCGGTTTTCCCCTTGACGCGTCCGACTGGCACTTTTACCACCCGCCGTCTCACCGCTTCTTTCACTCTCGTGACGTCACCTTTGACGAGTCCGTCTCCTACTACCGCCGCTTCCCCCACCGTGGTCCCCCGGTTACCCCCCCCCTGTTCCTGGTCACCCCTTCCCCGGTAGTCCCTGCCCCTCCTCCTCCTCCTCCCCGTCCCGCCCCCTCTGGTGTCTCCCATGTCACCCCCCTTCCGTCCGTTGACCCGGTTGAGGAGTCTTCTGACTCTGGTGGCCCTCCGGTGCAGTCTTCGCCGGCCGCCCCTCCCCAGGTGTCCCCTCCCCAGTCCCCTCCTCCGCCGTCCCTTCCGCCACTGCAGCCGTCGCCGTCGCCGCCGCCGCCGCCGCCGCCGCCGCAGTCGCAGCCCCCGTTCGCTGACTCTGGGGGTGCTCGTCCCGGTCGCCCTGAGGGTGGTCCCTCTGGGGGTGCGGGTGTGGAGAGTGCCGGTGGTAGCCGAGGAGCAGCTTGCGGTCCAGGTGTCGCCGTTGTGCCGCCGCAGCAGCAGTCCCCGCCGGTGTCCGCCCTTCGCCTGCTCGGCCTTCCGTCCCCCGACCCTGCGTCGGTTCCTCCCCGACCGTCTCCTCCTCTTCCTGTCTACGGCCCTGTTTTCCCTCCGCCGGACTCGTCCCCGGCCCGTCTCCCCCCTCGTTCCCCTCCTGTGTCCCCTCCCCTGTCTCCTGACCCGACTCCTCCATCGCACGTCTGGTCTCACCGTCCCTCCCGTGCTCGTCCTGCCTCGCCTGTCCTGCGCTCCCACCCTATGTTGCTTCGTTCACACGCGTCTCGTCCTCCCTTTCTGCCGTCGCCTCCTCCGTCCTCCCTTGTTGTTGCCCCCCCCCCGCTGTCCGACTACCTTCGTGCCGCTCGTCCTCTCGTTCCTCGGGTCCTTGCCTCTCTCGTTACCGACTCGTCTGTTCCAGTCTCGTGCCTTGACGCTCTTGTCGCTGCTGTCGCTGACTTCGCCTCTACCCGCCGCCTTGACTACGCCACCGCTCTGGTCTCTGACCCTGCCTGTCCTCCGTCTGTCGGGGGTGCTCCTGCCCTTGGCAGTGACGTCCTGGAGGACCGCCAGTTCGAGCTTGCTTTCCTCTCCGAGGCTGCTCCCCATCGCTGTTCCATGCTGCTAGTCCCTGAGGGTGACCCAGACGCTTTCGACTTCCCGACCCCTCGCACTTACGCTGAGGCGACTTCGGGACCCTGGGCCTCGCAGTGGATAGCTGCCATGGAGCAGGAGATGGCATCTTGGAGATCCACCGGCACCTTCGTCGACGCAGTTCCCCCGCCTAGGGTGAACGTAGTCGATGGCCGCTGGCTCTTCAAGGTGAAGCGCCCTCCTGGAGAGCCGCCTGTCTTCAAGGCGCGCTATGTGGCTAGAGGCTTCAGTCAGCGCGAGGGGGTGGACTTCTTCCAGACTTTCGCTCCGACCCCGAAGATGACTACTCTTCGGGTTCTGTTACACCTAGCTGCTCAGCGTGACTACGAGCTTCACTCCCTCGACTTCTCCACTGCCTTCCTTCAGGGCAGCCTACACGAGCAGGTCTACCTGCGCCGCCCTCCGGGCTTTACTGGCACCTTCCCTCCTGGGACCCAGTGGCTCCTGCGGCGCCCCGTCTACGGCCTGCGCCAGGCTCCCCGTGAGTGGCACGACACTCTGCGTGCTACGCTTGCTGACCTGCAGTTCTTTCCGTCTTCTGCAGACCCTTCACTCTTCGTTCGTGCTGGCCAGACTCCGTTCTACATCCTCGTTTACGTCGACGACCTGGTCTTTGCCACAGCAGACAGGGACGCGCTGGCCTCCGTGAAGGCAGAGCTGCTGAAGAGACACACGTGCACTGACCTTGGAGAACTGCGCCGTTACCTTGGCTTGCAGATCTCCAGGGACAGAGCTGCGCGCACCATCACCCTGACTCAGTCACACTTGGTGCGCCAGGTCCTTCAGAGGTTCAGCCTTCAGTTCTCCTCTGCACAGCCCACCCCTCTGCCTGTAGACCACAGGCTCTCCGCTCCAGTGCCTGAGGAGTTGGTAGAGCCCAGCGGCCCCTACGCAGAGCTGGTGGGTTGCCTCATGTACCTGATGACTTGCACTCGCCCAGATCTCGCATACCCTCTCAGCATCCTGGCTCGCTTTGTGGCCACAGGCAGACACCGACCGCAGCACTGGTCTGCCGCTAAGAGGGTTCTGCGTTATCTTGCTAGTACATCGGGCATGGGGTTAGTGCTAGGAGGACGCAGGCCAGCGGTCCTTACTGGGCACACAGACGCTTCGTGGGCAGACGACGCTGAGACACTCCGGTCTACCCAGGGCTACTGCTTCAGCCTTGGCTCAGGTGCCGTCTCGTGGAGAGCTACTCGCTCCTCGTCTGTTGCACAGTCCAGCTGTGAGGCTGAGATCTACGCCGGTGCCATGGCGGCACAGGAGCTCCGCTGGCTGACCTTCTTGCTCACTGACTTAGGTGAGCGGCCTAGCTCTGCCCCGGTCCTGTTCGCTGACAACAGGGCCATGATCCTCCTGTGTCAGGAGCCTCGACTCGAGGGCAGAGCGAAGCACATTCAGCTGCGGTACTTCCTCCTGCGTGAGCTACAGCAGCGACGTCAGGCTCGCGTAGTACACTTGGCCTCAGGTGCCAACACGGCTGATATCTTTACGAAGGCGCTTGCGCCTAAAGATCATCAGCGGCACTGTGTACAGCTTGGTCTAGTTCCTGTAGCCTCTCACTTGCTAGGACCTTGACTTTGTACTGTCCTTTATATGTATACTCAGACTGGACTTGTGTCCTCTCCCAGTGGCTGGACTAGTAGTGCCGCCCTGCTCTTGTGCTTGCCTTGTCTGTACTCCTTCTGACCGGTCGCTCAGACCCTTGTCTCAGAGGTTGGACTAGTAGTGCCGCCCTGAGCTGCTTGTTTAGGGTATTCCCCTATGCAGTCTAGGGGGTGTGTCAAACATGTGTATTTGTCATGTTTGTATAGACTGTATAGAGTCACCTCTTAGAGGATACAAAACTTAGATATATTTGTGTGTACTCTCACTTTACCATTATTCAATTATTCTGATAATTAGGTACGAAATCACTGGTCGCATAAACTAACGGAGATGCGGCAGGTAGCTGTCGCCCACAGGGTTACGGGAACATGTAAACGTTACTAATAAGCCGCACATTTCCCGTGAATGACGAAATAGGAGGTAAGCGCTGTGTTAGGGAGCGAGAATGGCGGGGAAGGAGCCATGGGTACTGAGTACAGAGTAAAAAGCAAAAGCTTTGGGTCTTGATGTGGCGGGGGGAGAGGCTTTCCTTGTTTTGTCGCTGGGTTGGTGGTGAGTCGCATAGCCAATCAGAATCTTCCCAAATAAAAATCGCACCCCTCCTGCTGGTATTTGGTTACCGTGTTTGTTTCGCGTTAGTTTTCGTGCGTCGGGGGACTCAAAACCTTTGACTCTTGAGTTTGGTCTGTACGCTCGCTTTAAACTTCAAGCAGAACAATTTCCTGACTACTGAAACTGGACTAAATTTCGATGTGACCAATTTGCTCAGTGTGGAGTGGCCGAGTAAGCGGAAAGCGGCAGCGCCCTAAATTGCGGAAGAAAAGAGGGTTTGATGTGAGACTGCTATTTATCGTGGAATGAGCCGACGTCGTCGGCGGGACGTCTCTCGTTCTAAAAACTCTTTCTCCAAAGCAGTTAAACCACGCCGTCGAACCCCTGGCTCAACCACAAAGCGATAGCCTCCACCGCGACCACGGCGACCAGCCTCCCCAAGCTCCTCCACAAGGTAAGTCCAGCCATTAGGAGGCCTACGGCGTTCCATAGCATTGACTTTGACTGGTCCATCAGCCATCTGGAGTGAAATGCCACAAGGGGTGCACAACGAGGGTAAGGGAGACGTGCGAATGGGGAACGGGGGAAGGTTAGAAACGGTCAGTCGACTGTTGCACCCAGCCATTCGTCCAGGCGGAATGATGCAGCAGTGGTGCCATTCAACATGCAGGGAGTAAATGAGCAAATGTGCATGAGCAAGCGTGCATGCTCCCAGGGAGTGGAAATACTAGGAAGTACTATGTGCACGACTTACCTGCTTCTTGTTGAAATCCATTCTCTTGACGAACTCATCCACTTTCCACACTTCCTCCTTTTCCGACTCCTGCAGCAGCAATTTCATTCTCTCCGGCCCCTCTGGGAGCGAGTCAACGGCCTCACTTGGGTAGACCTTCACATGCCGCTCCCCCACTGCCTTGTTGTAGGAGCTGAAAAAACAAGGGGAACGCGGCCGAAGAAACAGTAATAAAGGGGGCTTAAAAGCGTGACCAAGAAAAAAAAGGGGAACTGGAGGATGCTGCAAGAGAGATGGGATTGAGGGCGAAGGGGAAATGGCAACGGGGAAGGGAAGGGAATAGTCAGCTGATCAGCTAACACAGAATTGAGCACGCAGAATCTAAGTTTTCCTGATAAAGCGCAAGGTACCAACCCCTGTTGAGCCTCGAACTCCTTCGCGATGGAGTCGTCAAGAGGCTCGCCTCGCTCCTCCTCCATCTTCTTCTCCAGGTCCTTGAGCCACAGGATCGCATGCACTCGCTGCTGTCGCACGCGATACTCGCGAGCCAGCCGTGCGACGCTCCATTGACCCGGATCCTTACGATGCAGAAGCCACATGTTCTCCTTACTCTCCTCTGACAAGCGCGCCGCCGTCGAATCTGGCGGGATCTCGGTCAAGTTGAAAACCCATGGCTCCGATCTCGCACGAAAACCGTCGTCCTCCCCACCACCCCGCCCATCTGATGATCCTACGGCAATTTCCGGTCCCGATTGGCTTCCCTCGTTATCAGCGCCGGACAGGACTAGCGAATCGGCTTCCTGATCGTTCGAGCCAACGATTTCCCCTTCTGCCGATGGATCTTGCTGATTACGATGAGGAGAACTGACTGTAGTGAAGCTGTGACCAAGATCGGCACAATGCTGCAACGACTGAGCGATAAGTCCTCCAGCTTGCGATATGGCTGCAGCCCCTGCTCCTGTACTGGCTGCTGCAGAAGGGTCTAGAAGCAGTGCCGACGGCACCAAAGCTCGGAGAAGTCGTAGCTTTGACATCGCTATCACCTTAGTGCGACCGTTGGGGAAATTGCTGCCAGGAACTAGTTAGGCCCCGCATAGCCCGCTAGGAGCTCTCCCACGTTGCAAAACCGCCTGCCTCGTTCTGAGCAGAACTTCTGCCCTGCTTGGCGGAGCATGAAGTAAGCAGAGGGAACCGATGGAACTGGTGGTCCATGATGACTCGCAAAATTGCTGCGATAGCGACCTCGATAATGCTACACTCTGCATAACATACCGTACTATACTACGGTGCATGAAGCCATGCCACCTTGTTTGAGTTATGGATCTTTTAGACATATGATCGTATTTATACTTACATGGACAGTTGAGACCCTGAGAATCATTAGAAACATAAACGCATAAATACTCAAATCGAACATGTTATGCATGACAGCGTGTGGATCAACATCCGTACCAATGCCATGGATTGATGGAACAAAACCAAAGCGATGTATTCTATGCCACGAGAAAATGCAGCAACACGTCACTTTGTCAAATCCAAACACTAACCAGGAATACTATGTTTCCAGCACTGGAAGTAGGTAATTGGTGAATGAAGTAACAACTGTTTTGATTAAATATTTAGTGCATGCTATGGTACAGATTTTATGAGACCATGTAAGCGATCCACATTGCAGCGTAGTTTTTCAATGGACAGGACAGCTCTCGTGCTGTTGGCGTGGAACTACGAGGCTTTCAGAGCAAATCTGACAGTGGCTGCTGAAACCAAAACGCTCTCCCGAGGAAATGTCCGAACAATCCAACACACATCCGATCGCAGAACATCTTCTTTCTGGTTACAGCAGGAGGCGATGCGTTTTACCAAAAAATTGCTGCGATTTCAGTGCGGATTGCTGTTTTCTTTTCTGTGTTACAGACGAGCACGATCCGGTTCGCGGCTGAGAGTCGGGACAAACCGTGAAAGCGGGTACGCCCGAGCAGCAGATTCGATGGTTTCTCGTTCCCCGTGGCTGAGCTAGGGTTTGGTGCCACAGAGGCCAGCAGCAGTAGCAAACCACAAATGGCCTCTTCCTGTGGCACTCAGGCTCGTGGCAAGCCCACCGACCAAATCAAACAATCGCCTACTTAGCGGCTCGTCCTGCGGCTTCTGGAAAATCGCAGCTCGCGACGCGGGAACCTCTGGTGTCCACCCCACAACCACTCGTTTCCGAAGCTCCCTAGATTTCCAGCCAATCAACTCCCTGGAATCTGATTTTTCAGCTTATTTGGCAGCCAACGGATTCAAATTTCCCCAAATTTCGAGCGCGAAGAGCAGACAATTCGCTGTTCCACTCGTCTCGGCACTCCGCCCATTCAGTTGACCCACGCAATCCCAACCAAACCACATTCTTCCGCCATTCAGCCTCATTTCTAGTCCAATTTCTCAGCTCTCCAGCTCATTTCGCTCAGTACTTCGTCGTCCATTCTACCAGTGCTAGCGAAGCTCTTGTCGTTTTTCTCCTCAGCCGAGCACAGCGTTCTCCAGAATTCGCACGTTGAGAGTCGAAACGTGGACGCGCGATCTGGCGAAACGATCGCCATGGCGTCCCTGTCGCCGTGACGCCAGCAAATCCACGCGTTCGGAGACTTTTCGGTGGTCGCGACGCTCAAAGTAAGCAGTTTCTTTGTTTCTTGTTTGCTCTAAATCTAGTCGTCAGTCAGCTTTCTAACAATATAAATCTGACATTCGCCTTTGCTTCTGGCAGAATTGGAGTCGCAACTCTGGCACTCGCGACACCGAAGGCGTGTCAGCAAGCACCACAAGCCTATCCTCTTTCAATTCTGCACGGGGCTAGCGTCAAACTGGCTTCCGCTTCTACAATCGGCGAGGTCCGCCACTTTTGCAGCAATCGGAATTACTCGACGAGTCCTTCCAGAAGCGACGATGCACGCGACGATGCTCGCGACGACGCTCGCGACGTTCAAGGTGAGAGTCGCGTTGTCGTTCTTCTGCTGATTTAATTTTCCTATGCTTCTCGAATTTCCGAGTCTGACGTCCATTTTCCGTCTTACAGATTCCAAATTTCGCACGCCTGACGTTCCCGCGGATCGCCTGGCGTCGCGCCACGCGTCGTTCGACCGTCGCACTCGCCCGTCGCACTCGTCGCGAATCGGGAGCAGTCGCGATTGCGTCGATCGCGAAGCAGGAGGCTCTCCTTCAGCCCGTCACACGCGCGACGCAATCCCCGATCCGATCGACTCTCGAAACCACGGTAAGTAGGCTGACGAGTGAATCGGGGGGGTCGAGTAGCGCGCATATAACGAGTCATGCTTGGTTAGTTTCCGCGTCTTTCTCAACCTTATCCATGTACTAATGCTTTTCCTCCCCCCTCGTCGTTCCTCGCGCTGGACTTCCCTATCTCTCTCTCTCCCTCTCCCGTGTGCAAGGCACTGCAAGCGCGGTCGGTAAGGAGCGCGAGTCCGCACGCCAACGGCGGGTGCGGCTGAGACACGCATGCAGCGCCATCCATCCCGCTGGCTCTTTCAACCACCCTTTGGTAAGTCGGCAAACGCGAGAACGGGGGGGCTTCGAGTAGCGCGCATATAGCGAGTCATTCTGGCTTCTTTTTCCGTGTCATCTTCAACCTTATTAGGCACTAATGCCTGTCCGTTCCCGCCTCTTCGTTCCCCGCGCTGCCCTCCCCTATCTCTCTCCTCATGTGCGAGGCGCTGCAAGCGCGTGGCGAGTGTCGCGGCTGCAAGGAGCACGAGTCAGCACGCGGAGGGCGAGAGGGGCTGAGTCGCGCGTGCTGCGACGACAGCGATCACAGCAAGGAGGGTCGGACGCCGTTGCTGTGCCGGCTGCAAGCAGGGTCGCCGTGAGGGTCATCATCGTCGGTGCATCAGCAGCCGCCAGGAGGTGCCGTTCAAGTGAAGCGAGCAAGCAACGTTGGGGGGGTCGAGTACAAGTCTGCTGTAGCGCGCCTAGAGAGTCACTCAGTCGCCTTTTTCCGCGTCCACTCACAACCCTGTGCTCGCACTAACGCTCCACCCTTCGCCGTCTTCTCTACCCCCTCCCCCCTCCCCCAAACCCAATCCCACGTGGGGCTGCACACGGAGAGGAGTGCAGAGGGCGGGAAGGCGAGGAGCCGTCGGTCGCTGCCTGCCTGCACTGGGACTGCTGCTCTGCTCCGCCAGAGCGCGTGGGTTCACCACACGCTGGACTGCTGCTCTGCTCCGCCACCGTGTGGTAAACCCCCACGCGGATGCGACGCCATACCATGGCCGCTTGCTGCAAGGTACGATCGCCACTCCTGGGAGGTGGGGGGGCGAGTAGGCGTCTTAGCACAGCGCGCATAGAGAGTCACGCTGCTCGCTGCTCTTGCGTCCTGAGCTATTCCGCGCATGTACTAAAGCCCCCCCACGCCCCCCCCCCGCCCCCCCAATCCCCCTCCGGCACATGCCCACTTCCCCAACGCACGTGTTGTGGCGACCTGGTCGGGTGCTGTGCGCGAGGCACGTGGACGGGTGGCGAGTCGTCTGCTGCCGTCCCTCTGCCCTGCCCTGGAGTCCGTGGGCTCGCCCCTCTTCTAGCCCCTCCCGGCGATGCGCCATTGAGCCATTGAGCAGCACCATGGAAGCGAGGGAGTATGGGCTGGTGTGGCGTCTGATGGTACGTCACGACCAAACCCGTTCTTCCACCTCGCACCGCTGCTTGCCCTTCACTCTCTCTCGTTTTCAGCACCATCGTCTGGCCCCGCGGATGCTCTTTCATTTCCCCACAGTTCTCGCCTTACCCTCCGCCATCCCCCTCCCCTCCCCTCCCCCTTCCCCCCCCCACACCCCCCCCAGGGTGCTCCAGGCGAGTGAGGGCAGCTGAGGGGAGCGCGCGGAATGGGCTCTGGCGCTCGCTGGCTCTGTGGAAGGTCGTTGGGGCTCGCTCCCTCTGGGCTTCAGTCTACAGCGCCCTCCAGCGCCCGCCTGTTCAAAATGAGTATCCCGCCCCCACCCGCTCCCCCTCGCGCTCGTCTGCACCTTGCTTCTGCTTTCCTCGCTGCCGTTGATGCCACGTGGCTCACACAAGGACCCTCCCCCCAGGTTACAGACTTCAAGTACTTGCAGGTAACCCCAGGTCACCAGTGCCTTCAGGTGGTGAGGGCGAAGCGTAAGGTAAGGTTCAGCTGGTATGGTCCCTCTGGGTGAGCTGCTGGCTGCTCGCTCTCGCGCTCCTGCTATGGCTGGCTCTCACGCGCTCACTGCACGCACTCGTTTTACAGTTGTTTAATCTCATGCTGCACTTTCTGCCTCGTATAGCCACTTACTCCGCCTTGCCCCCCCCCCCCCACTACCTCACCCCTTCACTCCCTTCCCCCCCGCTTTCCTCTCCCTGGCAGTGAGGACGACTGCGGAAGAGGCGGGAGAGGCGGAAGAGGGAGCGGCCAAGGGCCAGCCGCGAGTCAGCAAGCCGCCAGCAAGTGAAGGTTGAGTATCGCACCTTCCCTCACCTGCACCGGGCTCACCCAGGGACCTCTCCCCCCCTCCCACCCCGGTAGGTACCCCCAGGTGGTAACAGCAAGCCTTCAGGTGGTAACGGCCAAGCCCAGGGTAAGGTTTAGCTGGTATGGTCCCTCGGGTGAGCCGCTAGTTGCTGCACACATGCACCCACTGCACCCACCGGTCCCACTTACTTGGATTGTGAATTTTCTGCAGCAGTCCCTTGTCTTGTGCAACCGCTTATTGCCTCCCTCGCTGCCTCTTCCTCCCTCCCGCCCTTCTCTCCCAGGCACCTTGGCGAGTCTACAGCAGCGGGCGAATCTGCAGAGGAGGCAAACAGTACGCCAGCCGCGAGTCTGCAAGCCGCCACAGCAAGTAAAGGTTGAGTATCCCACCTTCCCTCACCCGCACCTGGCTCACCCAAGGAACCCCCCCCCCCCCCCCCTCCCGCCCGGTAGGTACTTGCAGGTACCCCATGTGGTAACATCCGAGCCTTCAGGTGGTAACAGCCAAGCCCTGGTAAGGTCTAGTCTAGCTGGTATGGTCCCTCTGGGTGAGCCACTGGCTGCTGCAACACATGCACCCACTGCACTCACTGCATGCACTCATTCTCGTTCTGAACTTTCTGCAGCAGTCCCTTGTCCTGTAGAGCCACTTATGCCTCCCTCACTTTCCGCCC